TAAGCATTGTACATTCATGCCCAAATATAATCTATTTGAGTTTCATAAATAGCGTAGGATTTAGTAATAGAGCATTAGAACTGATAGCGGATTCATACACGAATCTGAAGTATCTCAATCTATGCGATGATTGGTCAGGTGGCTTTAGGGGCTTTCGTGCTCGAGAGATGGATGATGAAGGTCTAACTGCAATCACAGATTCATGTTATAAATTAGAATATCTAAATATTTCTAATCGCACAGAGTTTTCTGAAATATCAATTTGTAATATTATTCGTTCTTGTCTAAGACTCCAACGACTTGATCTTAGCTATTGTAAAATTACTGATATAACTATCGAAGAAATTGCTAATCCAATTCTTAATTTAAAATATCTAAATCTGAAATAGTATTTTAAAATTAGCAAAGAAGTCATAGATCAGCTAAATCCAAATACCCATGTCGAGAATTACCAGGATCTGAATGATATTCGCGTTAAGGTAGAGCGAGTGATAGAGCTATTATCAACACAGCCTCAGTCGCTGGAGGTTGCTAATATTGGACCTCGGTTTTACCAGTCATTTCGACAACCTAATTCCAGTATGTTTATGATAGTTGATTCTGGTGCTGATAACCCTATTATAGCTATAAACAGAGAAACACCAAGGAATTATTTTGAAAGAATACTAGCCGATTAAGCAGGATGCTGGTACTCTACTGATCTAAGTATGCGAGATAATCAGATGCGTCAGCAACATAGAGCTGGTGAAAGAATATTAACCCCAGAATGGTGGTACTCTACCGATCTAAGTATGCGAGATAATCGGATGCGCCGGCGACATAGAGCTAGTGCCCTGAAATGGTGAAACTCTATCGATCTAACTAATTCGTAGTAGTGATCATTAGCTTGGAAGATTTTTTTTTGCATTTAGATATGTCCTGTGTAAGAAAAAAATATAAATTAGCTAACCTATTCTAGACATTGACACTGGCTGACATTAGATGGATTTTTGACGAATATTTCATGCAATTGTTGAGGAGAGACCTTTGGGAATAATGGTAGCCCCTCTCTAGTAAAATAAAACATTTTTACTCATCTATCGATGAATTTTTGTATTAATACACTTGGAACATCTTCTAAGTGGCCATGGTATTCCTCAAACTTTCGAAGAT